GCGCTAAGCGTCCCATCAAAACCTTAGCCGCCACAGCAAGCGTCTTTATGCTGATGTCGTCAATTTTGGGACAGGCATATGGGCGTATGGACTGCAACTTTTCATTTTGGTGTTTGTCGTAAAATTTAGATGAGTGAGTCTAAGTGGAAGCACAAAAGTTTCCAAATATACATGAGCTCAGGCGATACAACGAGATGTTGGTGCATATTTTGTTGCAGAATATTAAACGTTATTTTGGCAGTCCGAGTCAGACCATCCGCTGTTTGAAGAGGGGAAATCCACTTTTCACCTTGCGAGGGCTGTTCAAGTGATTGTACAGAAGCTTTTGAGTTGAAGTAAATTGCTCTAACGACGCCAGTTATCATGCTACTTTGTCATCGCACACTAACTGGGCACGGTGGTTACGATGAACAACATAGGCTTTCTGGGTACTAGGATTCAGATTGGTTTTGTGGGCAAACCACACCGCGTTATGCATCACTATGTGCTTGCTTGTCCTAGTCCGTATAAATGAGGCTATGTTTCTCGAACTGATAGCCTTGGTTTCCGATGGTCCACTAACCAATGTGTTACACTTACTGACAAACGTTCCCAGGCCATATCGCGTGCATCCTAGGTTAGGAAACTTCAGTCGGTCTCTTCAGTGAGTCGAGTTTAGATGTCGTATCTGGTTATGGTTCGAGTCGTTTGGGTTCTATCCTCGGATTATTCAGCGTAACATGTGTAGATAATATACAAAGTTGCATGATCACTGCGGTCTAGAGGAGTATCGCTCATGAGTTCTTTACTAGTGAATATTAGGTCCAGTATGGATGGCCTGATTTTTCCCCTTAATCTGGTAAACGAAGTGATGTGGCCATAAAGCGGAGAACTTGAGAAAGGTCTTACAGTTTTACATTAAATTGCTTGCGTGGTGTGACCTGAGGTTTTAGAGCATATAAGTTGAAATCGTCAGCGACTAGACGACGGTAAGCGGTAAACAGCAGCCACTACGCCAACGTAGTTCCTTCTCAGCCGTAAGCTACATCAAAAGGAGTGGTGCACTACGGTTTCCGAATCGTGCATGGGTTCGCGCTGGAAGTTGTTACGAAAGTAGAAGTCTACTCCACTAACTCTGCTGGCTCGAGCAATCCGGACAGCGGACATACCTGACAGCGCGAGTTGGGCATCCGTTATCACACAGCACAACCATGTTTCCGGGATAGCGAGGAGGTCCCAAGCTGCTGATGCATGTTGAAATCACAAGTTTGCTAATTTGCTGAGTAGGCCCTGGACATACGTGTACATGAAGGAGAGATTTTCGGAGATCAGCGTGTTGGCTGTGAGGGATAAAGTGGGTGAGTTTACGCCGACCGACGAAAGGCCGGTGGCCAATCGCTTTTGGATCGGTTGCGGTTTGTCGAGAGAAGGTTGAGATATATGCCAGTATCAGATGCACCGAATCCTGGTGGTGGCTCATTGTGTTGCTTTGAAAGTTATGACTACTTTTGAAAGTACCACCGCGTCGGATCTTACAGTGGGTGGTTTGTTTGAGATTGGCGCTCCCATTGGGTTGCCAAGAGACCATGGTTTTGTTGCTGCTGCTTTCAGACGACTTTGTGTTGGCCGTCTGCTATGGAACTTCGAGCAATTCTTTAGAAGATTTTGTTCCGTCAGTTCAGACTCTAACACCAATTGCAAAAGCCTGCGATCGTAGCCCTTGTAGTTAGGTGACACGGAGCTCATTATCAACGAGGCGGCGATGACGTTTTCGAAAGTGCTTCACGGATGGAACGCCGCTGTTCCCGGTAGTGCAACTGAGCATCATCTGAAGAGGAATCTGTAAACTCAACAACACCGAGAAAAATTACATCTTTCTTATCGTCATAATTGCTGTTTTCTTTTAGTTAGTGGAATTCGCCAAAGGTTTTTCCACGAGAAGTCAGGTAGTATGGCTCTCCACTTGTGGCAGAACGGCCTCTGTCTCATCCACCGAGTTTAATCTTACCCGAATTAATCGGGTTTCAACGTAGTGTGGTGAGTTTAGGTGACGTGAGATCCGTTTTAATCTCGTAGGAGCATTATGGTCACCGATCACCGTACATATAGAATTTCACTGAGTTCGATCGTCTGTTAGCAGGCATTTAATTTTATTGAATTTTGATTAGGGGACATTAGTACACACGAGGTTTAAGGCACAATGGTTGCGTCTGGTGACTGCTGGGTTTGGAGCCATAGTTTGCCAAGTTTTTGATGAATTGGTGGACCGCACTGTTGGAAGCCATCCGTGCTGCGGCACTTCCGTTTTTCTCAGTCCGCCCACCAAACTCACAGTGCTCTTTCCGGTGTTTGTTTGGTGGCAACCAAAGCGTATGGTGCCTGGTACTTCACTATGGTGGGCTGTCTGTAGCTTCATGTCTTCTGTCCAACGAACGAACTATTGGGTGCGACACAGTGTAGGGATGCTGAAGCGGGCACGCTGCAGGCAATGTTTTCACTTTCGCGACAGAGAGAGAGGGAGGGAGGGAGAAGGAAGTGGGGACTGCTAGAGACAGATGTTGAAGTGAGGTTAGGACGAATGGCTCCCTGCTTAGGCCTGAATGAAGAATTTGGAGTGTCTTTTTCACAAACAAGTGCAGGTTCGTTTCATCCCATAGGTGTAACCCTGTTGCTCACTATTTGGTCGACTGCTTCCGTTAGTCTTTAACACATCTTCAGTAGCACAGTTAGACAGTTAACCACGGGGGTAGCACTGCATAATTGGTAAAACCAAAATGCCTGTCGTGCTATTGTACCGTTTCGTTTCTATCAGCCTCATCCCAAGACATTTAGTATGATATGATTTCAAGCCACTGGTGAACACTAGCCAAGTCTTTACAATTTAATACATAATGCACACGTACTCTTAATGTGAGACCAGTTCGCATTGGCCAGGTAGTTTTAAGTTAAAGAAGTTGTCCGGTGCTAACTCAGTGCAGTTTTCCGCGTCGACAGTAAGCTTGTGTCAGCTTGTTATGACAAGTTCTCTGTCACCCGTGTGGTTAGTAAACCCACCTTTCATCGATATCAAGCTCAGCTGGTTTGGGACCAGGTAACTGAATCTGAGCGCAACGCTAAACACAGCTTGAGTGTTCGCAACGTTTTCCACACCTACGTTGAGAAACTCAGGACTGGAATAAGCTTGAGCATTTCAAATTGCATCGATAACGCTGTATAAAATGGTGTTACTCAGGTGGGCAATCTTCCCAAAGTGATTGAGTTATCCGCTTGTGTTCAATCACGGATGACGGTTAAAACAGTTAGTGATGGTGAGGACTGTAATCTTGAATGACAATTTCAAGTATGATGGATCACTGTGTAGAGCTGGTAAATCCGGTTAGAATAAGGGTACATTGACGACGCTGCGAGTAGCTAGAGAGAAGTTGGAGTGGAATAATGCAAATGACCCAGGATCATGTACCTCATGCCTAGCGGCTGACAGATGGAGGCAAGAGAGGAATGGGGCAATTAGGTGAAGGATGCTGGTGGCGCGTCGGAATATTGGAGCATATTGGAACAGTAGGGCGTTTGCTACATCCTCGGCATTTTGAGCACACCTATTTGCTGAGGTGAATGGAAGGACACCGTGCTTCACATTCCGGAGGCGCTTTACACATTTGCACATAAGCTTGCTTTAAGCGCAAAACCTTTCAACCGGGCGCTGTTGGTGTACCAAATTTCCTCACGGACAAGTGTGTTGCGGTAATTACACTGCACTACCTAGTTGCTCCAATCGTCAGGTCTAGTGTTTGCTCTGTACACACGCCACGCTGTGCCTCTTACGGCTATGTGACCTAGGTAATACGGGCCCCTACTCAACAAGCTAAAACCTCTGCGTCACCTGAGATGGCTGGGCTGCTTTCTTTGCTTTCCATTTAAGCCTTTACCAAGCTGCGCTCCTTCATTTGCGCATGGCTGTACTGTAAGAAATCGCGCGGTGGTCAACCTATCAAATAATGACAAAACGTCAAAGCGATAACTTCCATTCCAGCTGTTTTCAGTCTCTAGGTCCTCCTGATCACCCGTTGTCCTCGCACCATGATCATGCCGGTACAGGCGTGCATCGCGTTGCCCAGAAGAAGAAGCAAGTTAATTACTTAGTTAATATTTGACACACGGTTTGAGCGCGTCTTCTCAGCACCGATCTCGCTTCTTCCCTTATGCGTGAAAATCGTAGGGAAAATGAGGTTATTTATCGACCAAGTAAATTCACACATTTTTCGACGGGCCCTAGTTGAGATGCGAGAGTGGTTAGGGACCCGTATTAGAACAGTGCGCTCGAAAGGTTAGATTATTTTGTTTCGAATTGGTTAGTGAAGCAAAATTTTATTTCGTCGTGTATGGGACAGTCTGTCCACAGCATGGTTGTTCGTCGAGGCTTCTGATGCCTGATTTCTCGTGCAAATATGAAATAACACAGTAAGCCGTCGTAGTTAGTAATCCGTCCGTTTATAAATGCAGGCATTATTTCGTAGCCTAACTTGTTTAACCGAAGAGATTCTCATCTTCTTTCTGATATCGTTGACAGCTGTGCAACGGCCCGGCCATATAGACCACTAATCACATCTTATCAATCCCATTGGGATCATACAGTTGCTTCGGTGCAATAACATTATCAAGCACTAAGCGATGCAAACGTGAGATTCGGTTTGTTTGATGACCATGTCACATGATAACCAGGACTTTACCTATTGCGTCCACTTAGTCATTACTGCTCTTCACTTACTAATGACTCCCAACTTTTGCAACCCCAAACACTCATCGATTGATCTGACCTAATATTCATGATCGATACGTCATGCCAAATGCTGGTTAGAATATAGTTTACTCACTGTAGCTTTGCGCTGCCTCCGCTACTAGTCAGCTACTAAACTTTTGTTCCGTACTTCCTAGACTATGACACATCGTGAGGCACAAAATATCTAAAGCATGTCTCGTCTGCCTGATGCCAAATAGAGTATATAAAGGAAATAGACACTCACTAAGAGAATGAATCTCCTCTGTGATTCGCTTAACCGTCAGTTCCTTCTGTAATTCCAATTCCTGTTGCCGCGCCTCCCACTTTGTTGCTTGCAGTCTGTGCATGGCATAGGTCCCGTAGATGCGTTCCCGTAGGTTGGCATTTTCATTTATCTTCTGTTCAAATTCGGCCTTGAGTAACCTTAAAGTGACGCGTTTTTCGTCGTCCGACTGAGTTAACTAAACATGAAGAGAAAGGCTGTAAGTGTGAGGAATAAGGAAAATAAGTTGTATGTGTGTCTGTTGAGTATTGATACCATTATGTTTAAAGTGTGAAAAAGTGATGGTTCCATTAACGAAAATATTATCTTCTTTGGAGTTAGAAGTGTAGATCAACATTAAAATTAGTAGGCTAACACGTCTTAAGCAAAACCTAGCAGATGTGCAACTGTTCGTTTAGTCATACAGGGCCTACTAACATTGAACGGGGTATATCAGCTGTCTTCGGAGACTCGTCATGCAACACTTTTCCATCAAAGTGGTAAGTATTTCGTACTGACAACGCAGTATGCAGTCTACATAATAAGGGGAAAATCCGTACTAAGAAACGAAAAAAGTAGTGTGGAGTCAAATAGCGCTTCCTTGTTCAAAGCGGCCGAAAGGTTCACAAGTCTGCCTTGTAGTCCGAAGGTTTCAGCTTCGAGCCTACATAAGGGACCGGGAGACCCTCGCAGTATCCTTAGCCTACCCGTTACTGGTAGTGGTTGTGTGGCAGTTAGCGTCAGTACCGCGTATTGGCCTACTGCTGATGTATTTTTCCTTATTAGCAGTCAGCATATCTGCAACCATATTACTCACTGTGATCACAGGCAACGGATCATTAGCTCAAGAGAGAAAGTTGCTTACAAGTTATCCTGTGGCACTTGCCGCATACTTCATAGTCAAGTGTTCCCAACCGATATGTTAGCCTTAGCTCAACCGACATTAGGTGATTAGTCGAAATGTGAAGAAATCTTAGTACTGCAGGCAATGCCTGTGAAAAGCAGGTCTTCGGCTCACGTAGCATGATACTATAGGACCAGTTGAAGTAGGTTGGAAGGCTAATAGACATAAGCCATCTGGCTATGGTTTTTATATGGTGAGTACAGCCATTCCTACATACAAAGCGCTGAGGATGAGAATAGGTACATGTCTGTACGTGACAAATGGCTGTACAACTTATACTTATTGTCACTTGTTGACTTCGGATTAGAAATGTTGAAAAGCAGCTACTCCAGTAACCGATAAATAGCATCATTACGGGCGGAATCCCGGTACTACATCTCGTACAGGATTAGTAGCAAGTTATGCTGCAATGTTAAGCAGAGTATTCAGTCTACTGACCTTAAAGTCGCGTTCATAATATGAATGGAATGAACAGTCAATCCCATCGTTTGGGACGACGGGATCGACTTGCGTCACCGCTTCGGTACCATTTTGGTAGCCAGGTCAAACTTCACGAAATAATCTGGACTGTCACCCATCCCAGTAAATAAACCCATCGACTTATTTTGTTTCCGAAAAGGGCAACGAACGTATCGAATAGTTGGAGTCCCTGTACCAAAATTCCATTCTACTAAGAAAAAAGCTCGTGGGAGGGAGTCAGTCGGCTCAACTGAGTGGAATGTTAGTAAGTAGAATCGTGGTTGTCACATACCCAGACGCGCCCTGTAGGTCATGAAACACCCCGGTCACGATTGCCGCCACCTAAAATAGCCGCAACAGAAAGCTAAATGGTCACCATCTGAAACTAGACACCCAATACAGTCGGCTGAAATGCCGCCGGAATTAATTTTCCATTCGAATCTGTCGGCCATGGAACGCTCTTTCGACTTTTTCGTTAGTGCGCCCGCACTACCCATTTGTTAAAAACGACTCGACGATGTACTACGTCATCTGCATTATTTGATTTTGGATCTGTTCATCGATAAACGACGAGACGCAGATAGGCAAGTTGCTCACCAACTTGCACGAAATCGGGGTACATGGATATACCTGTATGATGACGTTGAAATTGTGGTGAGCCGATAAATGTGCATTTTACTTGACAGTCACCATGTTGGACTTATGTACTTCCCACAAACCATCCCACGGGACCTGACGAACTTTGAATTTTTTTATCCGTATTTTACCATTGTTCCATTGTCCTTGTGATGCCAGCTTCGAAGGGCGTCCCTTGGTATTAGTTCAAGTCAAAGCAACAACTTGTTTTGTGCACCCAAGTCCGGTACATATTCAGCTGCAATGACGCACACACTCAGCCATGTACGGAACCGTACCAATAAAAAGAACGATTCTATAAAAGATATGGAAGACATCAGATTGCGAAGCAGTTTGTTTTTGAACTAGTGATTATGGTCTAGTAAAAGCTGCGATATACTTGTGCGTGGGTGTATGACAAGTTGCACTTCCGTCCTGTAGGCGACGCTGGCAAACATTTATGTTCTAGTTTATGTACAATGAACAATGATTTATAACGGGTAAAAAAGCAGGTGCTTGACATATCCCGTAGGGTGTATAGCATGACAAAAATAGATAGCGAAGGGATAATGGAGTCGTCAGTTCAGGCGCATACAGATGTAACTGCACTGCCGTATAAAGGGAGTTTGAAATGAGAATGTATGCACACAAAGCAACAGGGAAGTGGTTATTGTTCACATCACAGGCGAGAAAAATAAAAAAAGATAGCAAGGACAACGCTTACTCGTGTGCAACTATCTTGCGTCGACAGGATACAGAAATCCAGTTTCTATAGTAGTAGCGTTTATCAAATTTCGTGCAAGGCGTTTGGAGTGACTCATTCTCGAGTAGGGTTATGGCACTATCTCCTGTCTGTTGTGCATTTTGCCAGCATCTGGTGGTCATGAGCTATAGCACATAGTGTAAATGTGACAGAGTATCGTCAAGGCGTTTTTTGAAAATGGATAGGGTGGGTGCATTAATTACATGTTCCGGGAGGGCGTTCCAAGGTTGTGCCACTCGAAGGGAGAAATAGTTTCGCCGACATTCCAGGCGGCTGTACTGCGTGACTAACTTAAACTGGTGACCTCTTAGCGGGGTGTTTTGACTGAGTATTAGAAGGGAATGGCATGAGTGGTTGGGGACCCTCAGGATTAGGTACACCATTATGAGATCACTCCTTAGACGCCGATAACGTCCACTGTATATTTTGAGGGTCTTCAGCCTGAGTGGGTAGGGGAGGCTGGGCAAACCTCTGACGCTCTTCGTTACCCTACGTTGTGCAGTATCGAGCGCGGTGCGATGGTGCTTGGGCCAGGGTTGCCACGCTTGGATAGCGTATTCCGCGTGCGGCCTCACGTACGCACCAAGCATTTTTGGAAAGATCGAAGGGGCAAAATTCCCGAAAGCTCTGCGAAGAAGGCCGAGGTACTGGTTTGCTTTCTTAGCTGCCTTTTCCGTCTGCTTCAAATAACCGAGGTCATCTTGAGCTATCACGTTGAGATCGCACTCGTGAGAAGTCCGCTGTAGAATTTGTGGTCCTAGGCGGGAGTTGTGCATAGTCTTGTGCCGTATAGTGAGGACTTTGCACTTGGTGACGTTGAAATGCAGCATGTTCTCGATGGACCATGTGTACGCTTTGTCCAGGTCCTCTTGTAACACTGTGTGATCCTCCACTGCAGCTATAGTGCGCCATACCTTTAGGAAATCAGCAAATAGCAAACCATTAGAAGATAGCTCACTCGCGAGATCATTTATGAAGACCAGGAAGAGGCGGGGTCCAAGTACCGAGCCTTGAGGTACGCCGCACTGAACTTCGATGGATTCTGATAGGTTGCTTCTAACCCTCACATTCAGGTGACGTTGCAGGAGAAAGTCTCCTATCCAGCCAAGAACAGGATCGCCGATTCCATATTTCTGGAGTTTGTGGAGGAGAATGCGATGGTCTATGTGGTCGAATGCCTTTGAGAAATCCAAGTAGGCCGCGTCGACTCCTACACCAGCGTCCACAGATTCCGTCCACTTTGCACGAGCAATCAAGAGATTAGTTGTACAGGAGTGATTTTGGCGAAATCCATGCTGTTCCAGAACGAGAATTTTGTTGTTCTCCAGGTACCCCATTAAAGCCTCAGCTACAATGGACTCCATAACCTTGGAGATCACCGACGAACAAAAATACTCACAAAAATCCTTCTACTCCTAAGTAATACAAATTCGCCCTTACGGATTCCATAAATGCTATGTCGATTCATAGCTGCCGTAACAGGGAAGTCCTGACACCGGAAGGCCAACCGCTGTCATCTGCATGGCAGGTGCCTGCATGGCAGTGGAGGATGGGTCGGGCTATATTGCAGTTAGCTAACAATTCGTGATGGTCGACTGCCGTCCTCCATGGCGCAGTTGCATAAGCTGCTGCGGGCTAGTTGGCACAGGCCACTAGCAGTCATGGGTTCAATCCTCGGTAGAAGACCGAAGGATGCGCACCACTTACGAGCCCTAATAGGGCGAAACGGCCGTCTGGTGCTTTTCCGGATAGGTAGTTGACTTATCTGGATTGTCGGCTGACTGCGACGAACAAAAATACTCACAAAAATCCTTCTACTCATAAGTAACAGGAATTAGTGTTATCGGGCGATAATTTGCTGGTTTAGCAAGGCTACCACTTTTGTAGATAGGCGTGATGATTCCGTGCTTCCACATCGTGGGGACATGCATCTCGTTCAGACATCGTTGAAAGAAAATTGCTAATGGTCCTGCCAAACTCATGGCAGCAACTTTCAACGCCTTCGGTCGAATGCCGTAGGGGTGGCTTGTGCCAACAATCGTCTTTGGGGCCGGTTTTTTACAAGAACGTATGTGTGTGGAAAAAGGTACCTTAACGTAAAAGGGCATCGGAGTAAAATCTCATCGGGATAAATGATTTAATGACATGAAAATTGTCCTAAATTGCATAACCAGAAAACATCCAAGGAGAGCTATCCGTTCAGTGGGGAAAGCATAAGCGTTGGTATATAAAGGGTTAAATTATGTGCAGTATTGAAGCTGTTAGCTGATAGGCGTAGTATGATAACCTTCTGACTTTTGTGAATGTTTCATTTATAAACTAAGTATCCGGGATAAATCGTACTTCAGTAGCACACCAAGGTAGTTCAGTTCACTGTCAATATGGGGCTTAGGACCCAGGGTGAGTAGTTACATGTAATGAGCTCCTCTGTGTAGCAAAAAAGAACATGCTAGCAATT